TCAGTAAACTCTTGTCTGGAACAAGATAAAAGAACAAATCATTTGAGAAGTTACAGAAAGAAAAACACAAATGTAAGTAATAAAATGAGTGAGGACTGCGCGACAGGATCCTATCATGGTTTATGTGGCCCTGCAGTTACATTTTCTGAAAGGCCATTCTTCTGTGGTCATTCTGTTGGTAATCTCAGATGATTGAAAGTTATCTAGACTTTTTTTCCCATCTCCAGTGGGGGAAATAAACAATGTGCCAGACCTGTGTTGACAAAATGTTAAATAACGAGTCGCTCAAACAGATGGCTACGTCTCTTTTGAATGTAACTGTGAAACTAAGGCATTTAAACACAACAAGCTATTAGACAAGATGTCATTTTAACACATTCAGGTCATTTTGTAAGAGGAAATCATTCTAAAGTCGAGGTCCAGAACATCCTTTGACCTCAGTAAGTTGACCAACTGGATCAGAAATGGATGTTGGAGCTCAGCTCAGCAGCATGTGGACAGTCAGAGACAGTTTGTTCTGGCTCCAGATTCCTCACATGCCGGACGTTCTGGGCAGGCAGTACGATTGCTTCAAATCTTTTTGGAAATGTGTTTTTCCAGGCAAATGTGTTTAGCAGGCCGCTCCTCTAAAATAAACGAGTGACAGGTTGACTCAGTGGAGCAGATTAGAGGTGGATGAGAAAAGATGAAAAACTCTGAGGAGAAAAATGTTTCCTCTCTCTGTCTGTTTCTCTGGTTTATTCAGTGTGTGAGAACAGTTCTGTAAAAATCTACAACCTGATTATTAGGTGTGGACATTAAGAGTCTGATTTCTGAACACTGGAAGTCGTCACCTGCAGACAAATTCACACGTCAAGCTCTACATCTTCACTCAGTCACACATGAGCTGAGGCCTTCTGCTTAGAAGGGTCAAACCTGGTTCCTCTGTGTGCTTCTCCACTCAACTGTGAAAATTAGAAGAAAAAAAATCTAATATAGGAATGAGTGTGTGGGGCACCATGTGCATTCTGTGGTTACCACTTCATATCAACAGTCATAAGCTCAAACACAGAGACCTATCAATCAGAGCCAGAGAGAATTTTTCTGTAAAAGAAAATAKTCTGAGSAACCAAGGAGCTGAGAGGTCGGATGATTTATTAAGATGAGGAAATGAAGTTCATTTAGAATTAGTTTCAGCAGGAATGCAGCGGCGCTGTTTGAACAAGGCTCTGGACTCATGTTGTTGTAGGTGCTGAAGGTGGCAGAGCGTGGTAATAGAGGCTCTTTATGATCATTATCACGGCAGTGCAGACAGTCCCACCCAGCAGGCCATAAACCTTTACTTTGACTTGGATCCCTGAGTCTGAGCTTATCGGGCCTCTGGCACCRGAGAACAACACGGTCGTGTGTTCGGCTCCTGGTCTGACTAACCACTGTGATTCTTTACTCGCAGAAAAAAAAACTATTTTCACTTTCTTCATCACTTCTTTGGTCATAGCTTCTGACATCAGTGATGCGTGGCAGCAGAACTTCTTCAGAATACCTAAGATGATGTTAAAACTAATTCCACCAGGACCACCAGCAGGACCACAAGCAGGACCACCAGCAGGTCTTTCACAACCAGAGGCAACGTCCTGTTTCATCATCTGACTTTRACAGTTCTTTGTTCATTGTTTTTAACAACAGCATCATGATATAAAACAATAACTTTTAGACTTTTTCCTGGACTCAACTGCATTATGTCCATGCTGTTTGTGTTTCGCTCCCTGCAGACGGCTTCGCCACTAAAAGTGTCAGACTTCATTACGGCTCTCATTAGAGGAGCTGCCTCTCTCACTGAGAGCTTAATAACTTCCAGGCCAAACAGGGAGCACATCTCATTCACAGAGAAGGCCAAGGCCAGGTCTGATGATGCCCAGGTCAGATCCCCAGAACCTGGACCCGGCCTCAAAGCTTCTCCCATCAAAGCCGGCGACGTTACAGCTGCTGGCTCTGCTGCTCCCACATTTAGAGGATGGCAACAGGAACATGTGGCGACTGCAGTTCTTTTACAATGCAGCTTTTCAACAAGAAGCTTTAATGAAGAGTTCTAATTTTTAATATTTGGATASTCKGTRCGTAAATATTCACTTATGACATATGTTTGGACTAAACCCCAAATTATAAACGTTCAGTCCATCAAAAGCCTACTGTGAGTTCATCCACTAACTTAGAGGAAATGTGGAAATACACACTGAATTTTGTCAGGTTAAATAATCAGATTTCTTTCCAAACCTTCAGCGGTCGGCTCAAACTGTGCATACAGYATGTTCAAATATATTTTCTTTGGCTGTYRGTTCTGAAAGGTACAAAAACCCAGATAAGCATCTTGATTTGTCTTTGAAATGGATCTCAGACGTAATTTATCCAGAGCTCCATTCAAGCCTGAGAGGTAGGCGGCAGGTCATTCATTAGTGCCACTTTGGACACGTTTATTCACATTAATGAAGAAATACCTTCAGGCATTAGTGAAATACAAAAAAATAAATGTGTTGGATACAAAAACAATGTGCAGGAAAGGTGYTGGGCTAAGGAGAGGGGAAAATAYRAATCTAAAGCCAAATCAGGCACAGAGTGTTTTTATGTCTGCAGTTCCTACAATAACACAGTTATAGTAAAACACTGACCTCTGAATAACCTCTTCCCTCAAAACACTGCTTGACTTCAGTTTTCCATCAGACTGTTAATGTGCTGCAAACTAAGACTGATGTTATTTTATTGGTGTGATAAAGGTTGTTCCTTTAAATCAGACAAACAGCTGTTTACTTGATTTCCCTTTGGCCTTCCATTGCACACAGCCTTCATGCATCTTTAAAATCCTCTCAGAAATATTTTTCATCTTCACCTGTCAGAAATCAAAGAAAGATTTTGTAAAGTTAGTAATTGTATCAGTTGCCTAAATATGTAGGACTGAAATGATTTATTTTAAAAAAAATTGAGAAAAAGCAGATGCTATGAGTGGAAAGTATTTTTCTCAAGAATTTACCAAATATGTCCTCAGACTGTAGAAAATCCACTCTGTCTCTGAAGTAAGGAGAACAGTTTGAGTTGTTTATGAAGACAAATCACATGAATCTGTTGGGACAAAAGAGGGAGGCTGAGGAACATAAAGCAGATCCTTCCTYGGCCCTTCACTTCACTGTGTGTGAAWTCGTCCACAGGTTGTCTTCTAATGTGTGGAAGGGAACTGAAAATGTTTACATTAGTGTGACAGTTGGGAGGRSTTCAGCATCCTCTCTGGAAACTTGTGACATGCTGGCAGCAAAAATGGGTCGACTAATTAGCAACWAACCTGATGAAGTCCATGCTCTGTGTACCAAGACTCAAGCAAGAGAACAGAAATAACAGGAACGTTTTACACCTTATGACCTAAAACATTAGAGTTTCTACACATGGATCCTAACAAAATGCTGCTCAAATATTTAAAGTGAAAAGATCAGAACACAAGTCTGATTCTCGTCTTGATAAAAGAAAAAAATAAAGAGAATCCCACTAAAACTTTGAGGAATGGCTTTCTGCATTTGTGTCATATCTGTTTGTTACAAACCTAAAAAAAGAAAATGAGGAGAAGTCCAGGACCTCCTGACACTGCAGTTGGTCCTGACAAAGACTGAAATCTTCCCTGCTGCACCTAGCTGAGCGTATTGTTCCACCRTTTACTGGAAACACTTGTCTTCCAACCTCAAATACATTATGAGAAACCACTAAGTTCATTTYAAGAGCTTGGCACRTTATAAAGGAGCTGACGAACAACCACGGCWGCAGACAAGTGTTAACAATTTCATTGTCTTGACAACTTTAAAAGAATGCTGGGAGTGAGGTGCAGAGGCTGAAAGTGTTTAATGTGGCTGATTGATATGAGGTCAGAGCAGTCTGTCCCACTACGGAATAAATGTTTACATCCTGGTGGTTTGGGGTTTAGAGATTTATAGTCTGGGAAATGAGGGTTTTTAATAAAATCCACCATCTTCAGGTTCCCTTTCATACTGGACTATGACCTTGCCATGCCCTGCAAGACCTCCAYGAACTATTAGAACGAGGCTGGATCACAGCAAATTAGTAAAACCTTCTTTAGTGTCAAGGTTATTATGATGCTGCTAAAACATCKTGCTATTTTCCACACCCCCAAGAAGCTCTCCTGTGACATCACCAGGCTCTATAAGTCAGAAGCAAGACATAAACATACTAGCACAAACATCCAAATTTGAACTCGCAAGTGAGTCCAGTCCTGGATGAATTCCTACTGTTTAAGTCATGGTGGTCCATACCATCGATCTCCCCCACGCTCCACACAGAACCTAGATAAGCTGCCACCACAATAATTAACTTTCACAACCTCGCTATGGGAATTTTGTGCATGTTGAACAGCACGGTGGACCTATCGCACCTTATCATGTGTATTATGTAGGCCTCTGCATTCTTAATACACCCCCAATAAGCACACAAAGACTCAGCAAAGACCATCCAAAATCTGGCCAATATTTTATGGTGAAGCAGAGTTGCCGTTCATTGTGACCGGAGCCTTTCAGAGGCAGACAAAGAGTAGATTAATTTTCTTTACTCACCCACTAGGACCACTAGTCTGTGTTTAGCTCCACTATGCCGGCGGTACGAGGCAACCTCCTCGTACGTGGGCACGTCAGCCATGTCGTACATTTCACTCTTCTTGGACTCATACATGGACTTGTTGGTTTTTCTGTTTCTACTGAGACGGAAGCTTCTCCTGAATCCAGCTGGGGGAAAAGAAAAAAACAAAAACAGATGAAACACATCCATCAAACAACACACACTTAGAGTTGATACGTGAAATGCTGGGATCAATTGGGCTTCTATAGGTGTGTGTAGAATCCATGACGACCAAAACATTTGCTTGCAGCCGTGCACTCCAATTTATACAAGTAATAATTTCCTGGCAAACACCTTCATACAGCTTGATGTCCAAAATCTCATATTGTTTTGTGCAACTCATTTTGATGACAGATTACTTTGCTTTAGGTGACAGAAAAGCAGGACAACCAATGGCCAACCAGTTTCTCTGGTCATTAAAATCCCAACACTTGTCTCACATTTTCCTCTGATGACCATGTAGTAGATATTTTTCCCCCAAGTCAAGTCAAAGTTTATTTCTATAGCACATTTAAAAGCCACCACAGTTGACAAAAGTGTTATACCAAAGGATCAAGAACAACAACAAAAAAATAATTACAGTAAACCAATGATAGAATCTAGGCATAACTTTATAGAGGAGACTTAATTGGAAAAATAACAATTCAATGCAAATTCAAAAATACTTTATTGATCCCAGAGGGAAATTAGGTAACAGGGTTATTTTGTCAATTTTATAAGCAGTCAAAACCTACCTCAACGTTCCTGTCATTTGGTTTACTTTTTATCTTAATTTTTATTATTATTTCTATTCCATTATTGCTATTGGTGCATGGCAATATATTGTTTTCTTGTGAACTGATGCTGCTGTTACACTTGAACACACTGTGAGACAATAAAGGCAGTTTCTATTCTATTCTATTCTATTCTATTCTATTCTATTCTATTCTATTCTATTCTATTCTATTCTATTCTATACAGGTTTAATAAGTAGTACTGTCATAACCATGTAGATTTAATTTCATTTATTTATTTAAAAAGGACATGAAAATTCTTAAACATTTTAACAATGTAAATGAACGAGAATTAGTTCAGTAACTAGACTACATCTGAGGTCCCCCTAAAAAACAACATGGTTTTGTTTGTGATAAGATCATTGTCTGCATCACAGAGTCACAGGAAATAGAAATGCTCTCCATCCTTTCACCTGGGAAATAAATCTGAGGATCATCAGCAAAACTGTGAATTGTGATGTGCTTTTCAGCAGTGAAATCCCAGGAAAGTTCTTGTAACCAGAAAAAACGGTTGTAAGGTACAGCCATGACAACTCCAAAAAGATGCTGTCTAAAAGTTCTCCCTCTCTCTCTCTCCCACATTTTTTTGCATGTTTTATTAAAATTCGTGAAACAATACTTTAAAGGAATTTCCTATTAGTTTATCCATCTGTTTCTAGAATTTGAATCCTTACTGTAATTTATAAGAAGTGTGCTTGTACTAGGCTAACATGTGCATTATTTAATGTAATAAACATTTAAAACTTGGGTTTAGATCACTTTACAAAAGTTAATCTACATGATTTATGTAGTGCTGAYTATGTTGTGTTGAGTTCTACAACTTACTGATCCAACCATGAGCAAGTCCTGATTTTATGATCAACGAAAGTATCAGAAGGACACATTCACCCTAAATTTAAGGATTATGATTTTATATTTATTCCAGATGTTTCTTGAATCCTGAAGAATCCAGCATGGGTAATATGTTGTTTCTTGTTCAGCTTATTATCAATGACTGGGACTTGCCTTCACTTCTATTGTTTCCATAAATTGTAAATCAGTGATAAAGACAAAAATATGATTCACATTGTCTGAACAAAATAAACTATGGACTGAGAGATTCCAAGTATCTGCATGTTTAATATTTTCCACAACATTTTCAATCTGCTGCGGTGYTTTGCAGACAAACAATGAGGAACATCTGCATTTTTCGCAGCTTGTTTTGTTTCCAAACTGTTTCTTATTAGAGAATCAAAGTACAGACCACTGCTGAGCTACAAATGAAACACGCTGTAAGTCACTAAATAATAATAATAGTACATCAGCATAAACAGAAGTGAAGCCTCAATGCTGAAAATAGAGTTAAAGTGTACGAAATCAGACTTTGTTCCACTCGGGACACGTTGTGGTTTTTGTCCTCTCTGCCATCTCTCCTGTGGTTAATCTCATCGCTCAGCACCAGAACTCCCCTCCCTCCCCATCACAGATTATTACCCTCTGCTGTACAGTGGAAAACATACAAGTTTGTCTGCWTTTCTCCTTTAAAAAGACATCAAACTGTAACTAATCACCAAGGTTGACCTCATTACAATAAACAATAAGAGTTTAGTGTTAGTGATATTCTACTGAAAGCAATCGGTCAGTCTCTAAAGGTTTAAACTCAAACCTCAACACAAACCAGTCAATTAGTAGAATATAAACATTCTGCTCACTAATTAGGCTTTAATGAAAACAATGAAAGATAACAATTCCACCTTTTAAGTTCTCAGCCCATTARTAAACAAACCAGTCCACTTTTTACACAGACTGGACAGGTGCAAAGAATTTATAGATACTAACTACAATTTCTCAGCTGATGATGTTTGTCTGAAGTCTTCTTTTTAAAATTCCCCTCCTGGATGGCTCCTTATAAAATCTATTTCACAGATGTCTGACTTAGGTTGAGAGTAAATGAATGGAAGCTCCAAGAACAAGAGCAGCACTGGTCCTCAATAACCACTTTAACTTCTGTTGATGGTGATTGAATCAGACGTTAATATAATCCTGAATTAAAGGATTCRTTTAAGTCCTGTTTAAAAGATGGAAATTTGATTTTTAGTCAAGAAAAGCCTCAGCTATGGAACACAAACATTTTTGCTACAGGATGAGCCAAGCAGACAGCTTTGGACCAGGAAAAGAATCCATGATACTGGTGCCACAAGGGTCCCACATCTCTGTTATTGGTTTGACTGGTCAAATCAGACTTACAGAGAAAAGTATTTTTCCTGAAACAAGAACAGTTTTTCTGTGAGTTTTAAGGTATGTGGTTTAAATTTCCTCGCTGAAGTTCTACAGACAAACACCCAACTATTAATGGTGTGTATCAGGCCATAAATTACCACGGCTGTAACTGAAAACTATCAGATAGCAAAATGTGTTTTTTAAAATGAAAAAAAGGGAAAAAAGAGAACATTTAATTCACCATAAACAAACTGTAACAGGCCACAGAGAAAGAGATCCACATGCTGCTGTTCAGAAGTTGCCCACAGTTCTGAGCCCAGTTTCCACTCTGATAATGAAAATGTTTTCCAGATGAGTTAAGGGGCAGAGGGGAGTGGTGTTGGTTTGATGCTTGRTGGTTATTGGTTCCACTCTCCATCTCCATGTTCGCTTCTGTTCCTTCTGTTTTGGACACCTGTCTTATACATCACCACTCTTGTTGATAGTGTTGTTTAATTCTTAGTTGGGTCTGGGGGTTCACTGGCATTCCTGTTTTTGAAGTTTCTGGTTTAAAGGGCTACTTTTCCAAAACATGGCAAATCTTGATGAGTAACAGGGATTACTTGCACCAGAACAAGTAATTTAAATACAGAAGATCATCATCACTTATTTCACATTTAGTCAGTCGTACATGTACGTAGTAGGCTGCTGCCCGGGCAACCCGACCACGGATAAGTGGAAGAAAACGGACGGAGGGATGGAACATGTAGAACTTTTCAGTGTTTATAAGGGGACGAGTTAAAACGCTGTTCCTATGCAGGAAATACCACGTACAGCTCAGTTATTTTTTGTCAGCCGTGCTTAGCCATAGCACATTCAAAGTTTCATGTTTAGTAGAAGTTAAACACAAAATGTCTACGTTATTTACAACTGGCCCTTTGAGGGCCACCATAATCTCATGTGGCCATTGRTGAATAATAGTTTGACACCCCTGAGTTAGTGTTAACTATATTAAAATACAGTTTATAATTTGGACTACATGTTTTGTGTGTTATGAGACACTCCTAGATATATAGATCATAACATACCTGCTTCAGTGACTGAACTACTTCTTCAAGTTCTAACCGAAGCCTTCACCCATTCATGCAATCAGGTGTGTCAGAGCAGAGAWACCTCTAAAACCTGCAGAATAGTGGCCCTCAAGGACCAGGATTGGACACACTTGGTCTACATTCAAAACTGTCTTTACCCAAAGTGTAAAAAACAAGTAAAGCAAAATAAGCTGACAGTGAAACCATCTGTTGTGAGGCTCCACTAAAGCGAGGACCATTTCCAAGACCCGGAGGACTGACTGTAAGAGGCTGTGCTGACAGCTCCATTGCCATCCTGGTTCTCCAACAGGGGCTCTCTCCCTTCTTCAGAACTAATGGAGACAACGTTCATGATATTAATCAAGTATGGCAGCTGGGAATAAAGTAAGTATTATGCTCCCGGCTCAATGCTGCATGCTGCGGTTTGACGCTGTAACACTTAGTCCAGCTCACTGGCACTAAATGTAGGAAACATTACCAGCATTTTCTGCAATATTATGCATTCTTATAACTGGTTTAGTTGGAAGGGATGAAGGCGGCGCGTGGTCGGCAGCTTCAGAGGAGTAGAATACTTTTCATGCTGTCAGCTGTTATTATCCCAACTGAGGATAAAGGAAGGGGAGGGCTGCAGTTTAGGATAGCCTGGGGCGACAGCAGAACTTTGCTGCTGGATTTATTCATCTGATTTGGTTACGTTTGTCAGGGAAGTCTATCAAGTGAAAGCATGTGCACAATTCTCAAGTCATCTTCGAGTATATTCACTCCATTTTTTTTTGCTAGTCATGAAGCAGGAGCTTCAGCCAGACAAGTATTATAGCAAAGTGATATATTTTGTATTGGCCATAAACAGAGTTGTGGGTGATTAATGGTTGACTTGATTCCGTGATGAAGACTGAAGACTTTTGTGTCCGGTGAAATCTGAAACCAGCCTGAGTTTTCTCTTCATCAGATGAAATGTAGCTCTATCAGGCAGAGATCTAGTGATTGACTCAGTCATTACAGAACAACTCTTAAGCAACTGGGTTTATTTTACCTATGTACACGTGGACAAAATTGTTGGTACCC